TCTTGTGCTCAGAGCCACCCTCCCTGGGGGACACACACACACACACACACACACACACACACACCACGACGACGACTAGCATTTGTCATCATGCCCTTGAGGAGTTGCTCTAATCCAGAGGTTAGATGTCATTTCTCAGTTTTGTTTTGTTTTTCTTTTGGATATAATTTTAGGTTTAGAAGAGTTGGAAAATAGCACAGGGAGCTTCCCATGGTGTTATCAACTTACATAACTGTAGTACAAGATCAGCCCTCGAGCCCCACACATGTACCTCAGCCCTGCCTGAGGATTCTGTAGAGGATCTGTCAGGTCTAATGGCCTTGTATATTTTGGACAAGAATGCTGCAGCAGTGGTGGGAGCCTGTTCATCATCAGCTTAGGGGCTCTTGTGTCAGTGTATCTTATTATTAGAGTTACCCTGGCCTTTTGCTTCAGGTGTGGTCTGCCAGCCTTCTCCACTCAGCACTGTTTCTGTTGTAATTAGCATAAATGCTGGCTGAGAGGCTTAGAGATTGGGAATATCCTAGCTGTCCTCTGGCTCCCACCTGCTGACTCTAGCTTGCACTGGTATCCCTTGCTCACTGATATGTGGTTATGTTGTTCTGAAGTGAGCGTAGTTGGATTTTAGGGCCACGTTGAGGAAGACCGTCACCCACCTGAGCTATCGGGAGGAGATTTCAAGAGCACCTCTGTAGCTGAGCTTTCTGTGGACCTTCAGCTCCCGAATAATGACACTGAGACTTCCTATTAATTATGAAAGCTTGACCTTAGTTAGTTGTTTCCAACTGACTCTTAAAACTAAATCTACGTTCTGCCATGTGGCTGGTTACCTCTCCTCAGTACCATAGGTCCAACTTCCTTAGAGTCTCACTGGTGAATCTCCCACCTCAGATTCTTTCCCAGAGTTCCTACCTCTCCCTGGAAGTCCTGCCTAGCTATTGGCCAGTCAACTCTTTTTTAAGCCAATCAGAAGGTGCCTTGGGCAGGTGAGGAAAGACAGACACATCTTCACACAGTGTACAAAAAGATTATCCCAACATACCTTCTTCATCCTGTAGCTCACTTCTTGCCAGATGACTAAGACCTACTTAAAGGTCTCTCTTCTTGAGGAAATAGAGATCCTCCACCTTCACCTTCAACAGGGCAAAGACATGGCTTCTGTTGTCTATGGACACTCAGGGCCAGAGATGACAAGATGCCTTGTCCATATGGCAGATAACACATCTGCTGACTGACTGACTTTGTGGCCTTGTGGAGAGCAATTGCTGGACAGGGGAAATCTGGTGAATTTTCTTTTGACCATAGGAAGAAAACAATCTCCATGGCTCTATTTATTCTCTATTGAAGCACCCACCCCTTTTCATTTACAAGCTCATGTTCCCAAGTTGACTTGTGAGCCAGAAGGTACATTTGGTGCTTGGCTTCATTTTATTGGTGAATTTATTGGCTCAGATCTTATAATAACTTGGAAAAATTAATAGATTTTTTTGTATTCCATTAAAACTAAGAATAAGAAGGAAAAAAGAAGAGAGGATAGAGGAAAGAGGAGATAGAATAAAAAGGAGCACCCGTTTCTTGGCCGAGATTTACTGTGTGAATTGTTTTTGATTGTCCTGGAAAGGACTACCAGGCTGTGGGAGCCATCGGAAAACACCAGCTGTGGTTGGGTTGGCAAACCCAAAGCCATTGGCGGTCTGAGGCTTATCCAGGGAAAACCAGCCTTGTGGCTGATAGGTTCTGAATCTTTGGCTTCTACAGGCCTGGGAGTAGGCAGTGGCTTTTGCTCTTCTCTGAGAGCCTGGCTATAGTAGGTTAGTCAACCATATTAATACCATAGGAACTGGGAAGCAAGATAGACTATGAGACCCATAGTGTGTCCCAGGTACACACTCTATGGCTGTCCATGCCAGCAATACCCACTGTCTTTCTGATCAGGAGGGACAACCCTGAGCCTCCATGCATAGTCCTCTGTCTCAGCCAGGCTTACCAGACCTTACCATTGCCCTCTGCAGACAGGGTTTTAAAATGCAACTGATTCCTGAACCCAGCTTACCTCCCTTGCCATTAACCTGCTTTCAAGCTTGCTCTCCACCCTTGGGGAAGGCAAGTGCTCTGGTATTCACAAGGTGAAATAAAGATGGCTGGCAAGATGGAGGCCCTGCTATGGTTTTATAGTACATTTGTGCTGTACATGAAAAATTGTCACCCAAGAAGTCAGTAAGTGGAATTATCAGTCGTCCTGATAATATCAGTCGTCCTGATAATTCATGCAAAGGCAGAAGCAGAATTCTACACATGCTTGGAATGTCCCAAGAACAGGACAGAAGGTGGTTTCATGCACAGCCTGCTTCACCCATGATCAGAGGTGTACTAGCTGTCACTGAGCCACCAACCCCTTTGCTTGTGAGGTCTCATTAGCAGATTCCTATGGTGGGTCGGGGGTTCCTCCAGGAATAGAGATCTCCAGGGCACCTGGAGGCTGTGGAGAGTGCTGCCTCATGGGTAGGGTAGCCATGGAGTGCAGGTTGCTCCCTAATGAGAAGGGTGAGCTGACCACTAACTTTTGGTTGGATGCTAAACTTCGATACAAACTGATGGGGGCTCCTGGCAGAGGGAAGAAAGAAAAGACTGTAGGAAATAGGACAAGAAGAACTAAACAACCCTTTTCCTCAGCCCAGCCCTGGGGCCCAAGGACAAGCCCCTGTGCCCCAAATGTGGAGATGCCCGGTGACTAGGGACAGAGCTCTCTAGTTATCTCCCATGTCCCATCTGCCGTTCACTCAGAAGAAAGCACATGTCACAGCCTTCTTGGGAGGCCTGGTGGGGGCTGGAGAGGGAAATGCAGGGGTGTATTTGGGGGCAGGGTAGGTACTGCAGGGGCCTTTGAGTTTCCCTCTTTTCATTTTCTAACTGTTTCTCAGTTAATTAAATCCCCCACTGCATCTCGGAATCCCACCCTGCTCATCAGCTTCTAAAATTCGCAGGTGAATTTTATCTGGTGCATGTTCTTAGGGAGCAAACATGGTCCCTGGGCCTGGCCTTCTGTGCACCTTCACTGGATGGGTTAGATGTGGACAGTTCCCGTGGGATATGGTGGTGTTCCATGGACTCTCATGGTAGCCGTGTCTGCTCTTCGCAGGAGGAGGCTTCGAAGCTGAGCCACAGTGGTCTGGCTCAGATGGGTCTTCTCATTCGGGGAGACCAAAACACATGTTCCTGGTTTTTGCCGGAGCCTCAGAGATGGTGTCCAAACATACTGTGGCTGCCACCATCCCAGCTGGCAGGAGATGTCCCTGAGGGCCTCCACTCCTCGAAGCAGGACTTCTATTAAACACAGCCATGTTCAGAGGCCAATGTGCCAGAGGGGATAAGCAGGTGCTGGTGCAGGGGAGGCTGGGGGTCTTCTCTAGTTCCAGCCCTGTTATTAACCCTAAGTAAAGTGACAACTGCTTGTGGGAAAAGCATCTGTGACAAGGGTTGCTACTGTGCACCACTCCACCCTCACCCTGCCCTCCTTGGCTCTCAGGAAGGAGGGGAAGAGTATAGTATAGTATGTCCTAGCTTCCCCAGGTGACTGCTCACCTTAGCTTTCCCCTCCATCTGTCTTGGTGGCGGACACGGTCAGGAAGGTTCCCCATGGGGAGCCCAGTGAGTCCTGATGGAGCAGGAAAGGAGCAAGGGTCAAGATCAGGGGAAAGCAGCCGTGGCTTGGCTGTGTCTTCCTGTGGGTCAGGAGTGAGTTTTTGTAAGGAACAGTGTCCAGAATGGAGCTGGTGGGCCAAGGCCAGTGGCGCCAGAAACTGAATCAGTTGCCCAGTATGAAGCAGACGTCCCCCTGAGCAGCCTGTGTTCATTCCATCAATGTCAACTTTGTCTTTCAGATCTGGGCCTGTCCCCACACCTCACGGCTCTCATGGCAGGTGGACAGTCCCTGGGACATAGCAGCAGCACTGGGGACACCGGCTTCAGCTACTCCCAGGATTCAGGTAATGGTCCTACTCTGAAAACTGCTCACTCTGTGTAAACTTGTTGAGTTCATTGCTGCTGGGAGGAGAGGCAAGGGTTCGGAGCTGGGCTTCTCATATGGCCCTGAGTCGCTAAGCCGTGCCTCTGTTCTGTCCTCTACAAAAGGGCCTCTCAGTTCCTTCTCTCCCTACCATATGGTGTGATGGTGAGGATCAAAGTACAAGAAAGCCTTTGAAAAGTTAAAATTTAAGCTGGCTGTGATGGAATACATCTTCAATCCCAGCAATTGGGAGGCAGAGGCAGGTGGATCTCTGTGAGTTCGAGGCCAGCCTGCTCTACAGAGTAAGTTCCAGGATAGCTAGAGCCATTACACAGAGAAACCATGTCCTGAAAAACCATCACACACACATTAAAATTCGAAGAATCTATGCTTTGACACTACTTATACTACAATTGACTGGCCAGGCCCTGGAGTCCATCTTCTTGGTCCTTAGTCTCCTTCCTGCAGTTGGCTTACTGATGTTAGGGCCTGCTCCTTGTGCTTATGGGGAACCATGGCAGCTGGATCCCATTTTTGTTGAGTGGCCCTTGGTGGGGGCAGCACGGTCAGAGCTGGAAGCGAATCTTCATGCACTTAGTTCACAGATTTCTGCTGGAGAACTGAGGCGCCTGGCCCACACCTGAGGCTGGTGCTTGTTGATGCTCTGGGCCACACAGGGAATGGTACCAAGTCCCAAACACTGCAGCACGCATCACCATCAACTCCAAGCTCCTTTATCCTTGCATTCCTGGGAACTTTTGTCTTTTTGGTTGTGAACCTTTAAGAGCTGAGCCCTCTCCCAGCCCCCACTGGGAAAAGTCACTTTGGGGTATGGAAAGATAGCTGTTAGTGAAGTCAGTGGGGCTCAGTGAGTGAGTGGCAGGGGGACATAGCCTGGGGAGTCCCTCCAACCACAGACAAGGGATACAGGTCAGCCCCAGACACCATGTGATGTGCAGGTTGCCAGAGAGGGACAACCCCAGGGAAGACAGAGAATTTTCTCAACTGATGGTCTCATCTAGGTGCCAGCCACAAGGCCTACCCCTCACCCACAAAGGGTTCAGGGCATAGTGTCCTAAGGCAATGGATGGCGGGGACTACCTGGGTGTTGTTCCTCAGGTGCTGTCCACCTTTCCTTTTTTTTTTTTTTTTTTTTTTTTTTTTGACAGGAAGAATATGTGTTCATGTGGTGGTGGGGCCCCCCCGCCACTGTCTGTGAAATCCTGGGATGGCTGGCAGTCATGAGGCATTGGGTGGTGGGAGGGAGAGGCCTTGGTGTCTGGAGCTATATGGTCTGCCTTTTGCCTCAGGGACGGATGTGATGCTGCTGGAAGACTGCACTTCTGATGACAACCCTCCCCCACACTGCACGTGCCCACCCAGGAGAAGGAGCTCCGTGACATTTGAGGACGAAGTAGAACAGAGCAAAGGTTGGTTTGTGGGACTGCTTCAGGAAAACACGGGGGCAAGGAGGGGATTTTAGCCACAACCTTCCTACAAGGCTTTGTCACCTCTGCCTCCTGTTGACTACAGCTCTACTGGTGTCAGCTGAATCTTGAACTATGAGGTATCTGACTCAGAGCAAGCAGCATCTAAGGTGGGGCAAACACAGCTGTAGTCATACACACACACACACACACACACACACACACACACACACACACTCACCTGCTCTCATACACTGAGAGAGCGAGAGAGTAGAAATACGGCCTAGTGAGTGGAGACCAAGATGCCATCCTGAAGCCTGAAGCCTGTGAGAACTTGAGTCTGTTGGCTGGGCTTTCCTGCTCTAACACCCAGCATCTGTGTTACGTTGCTTTGGGACTTGGGGTTAGCTTCCCATCAGGACATGCCAAGTAGACAAGTGACGGAGAAGCCACTCAGGCTGCTCTCGGGTAGGAATCTCACCGAGTGAGAATAGCCACTGGCATTATGGAGCCACGAGTCTGCTGGAGCCCAGGGTTTTAAGGTGTAAATGCTGAGTATGAAAATAAATACCGGCCCATTATCGATCTTCTTGTACCCCACCCCACTCACATCCAAATTGAGGGGAGAGGTGGTGGAGGAGCTCAGAGGGAAGATATGAAAGCATCCACGTCTCTAGCCAGGTAGATCCAATCAGAGTCAACCAGCAACCTTGTGAGCCTACATTACCTTTCTGCAGGGTGAGTCCCAGTGCTCTCCAGACTTCCCCACACAGAGCCAAGCCTGCCCTTTGTGTTGTGGGGTGGGTAGGTCTCGAAGCGCCCTCTGCTGGTCTGGTGCTAAGAGCAAGGTGTTACCTGGGAAGTCTCTCTTACTTCCTGGAGAGTGAGGCACAAACCTGATGCTGTTCTCCATTAAACATAAGGGGAAGAGAGGTTCCCCCCAATATCCCAGGAGTTTAGGCAGTGAGGTCTGTGATAGCTTTGCTCTGGTTTGGCAATGAAAAGCCACCTTCATTCCTCTTTTTCAGTCAATGCAGGTGTCAGGGGTCCTAATCCCTATAGGATGGTGCAACTGTTAACATCACACTTCCTAACCTGAGGCTTGCTTTCCACACTTAGGGAAGCTCTGAATGAAATGGAGAGGAGACACGACATTCCTAGGTTCACAAGTAAGGCTGTCCCAGGGAGGTGCTAGAAGGGAATTCTTTTGAAGACGTAAAAGTTAAAACATTTTAGGAAGAATTTACTTATTCACCTGTCATAGTAACCATGTGAAGTAAGAGATCTCTTCTCTTTATAGATGAGGAAACTAAACTGAAAAATAACATCTGGCATTTCTCAGGTAGTAAATCGGGAAGTCCAGAATTTTAGCCTGGGGAATCGGATGTCAACATCCATACATGTTATCTTCGATTGTCTCCTCTCTCTGTGGCAGTGAGCCAACAGAGGCCATATTCTTGGGGTAGTCATGGGTCCTGGTTCCTGTGCTAACCTCCCTTCTGCCTTCTCCCACAGAGGCTGCCAAGAACTCTATTCTTCATGTGAAAGCCGAAGTCCACAAATCTTTGGACAGTTACGCAGCCAGCTTGGCTAAAGCCATTGAGGCCGAAGCCAAAATCAACTTATTCGGGGAGGAGGCTTTGCCAGGGGTCTTGCTCACAGCACGGACTGTCCCAGGGGCTAGCTTTGGGGGGCGTCGAGGCAGCAGGACTCTTTTAAATCAGAGGTTACCACTGCAGAGCATTGAGGAAGGGGACATCTTAGCTGCAGAACAGAGATGAAAGCCTCAGAGGGGACTGGGGCCACACTGGAGCTACTGGAATCTGTGTCGGTGCCAAGGCCCTGGAAGACGTCACCCCTCATGGAGGGCCAGACACCGGGAAGGAAACACTGGGGATGCAGCCAGGAGGACTGGAAGTTCTGACTTCACTGTCTGCCGGGAAGGCATGTGTGGCTGTCCAGGGTCCCTGGGCTGGAACGAGGCTTCCAAAGCACACTGAAAAAGCAGATGGAGAGATGTGGCTGCCATTTCGGGAGGACAGAGACAATGGGTTCAAAGGGAAGCCACCATGTGGACCATGTCTTCACCAGTATCCTGCTGGTCTAACTGCTCATGGTCTCAGAGGCAGTCCCTACTCAGTGTACCTCATGGGATGCAAGACCATCTGGGGTTCTATGTGGTTGATCCAGGCGGCATAGGGCCACACAGGATAGACTAACTGCACAACAGTCCAGAGAACACCCAGGAGTAGCGCACCATACACAGACACCCCATTATCTACTGCCCTCATTAGGATGTGGCCTTTGGTGACAACTGCTGCTGGTCTGTAGGAGCAGCCCACAGGCCACCCAAGATGGGACCACCCCACCCACCTCTTTGTTGACAGATGTTTTAGTGTTTGAAAAGAAGGGAGAAACCACTATAAAAGACAAGGGTGAGTACCAGGCATTTCATTTCCAAAATAAGAAACCCAGGAGATTAGGGTATGTCACTAAGACTAGGGCTATGATGTCACATAGAGCAGGGAAGAATCTAGGGGAAATCCCTCACACAGGCAATGTGGGAGATGCTTGAGTGACTGACAAACCTAGCTGGCCTCAATTCATTGCCAGGAGCAATTGTGATTGTCACTGCAGCTTTGGGGCAGGCACAAGGTAGAAAGGGCACTGGAGCTGAGTTCACTGCCTGGGTTCTTGGCTCAGCTTGGTCTTTGCGTATCATCTGGAACATCCTGTCCTGTCATTAGGCCATTTGGAGAAATGGGAGAGGAGTGAGGAGTTGGAACAAGTTAGTCTCCAAGATATTTCCAGCTCTGATCTTTGATGTCATCTGAACTTGTAATTTAAGAGATGGGAACAAACAGAACATGACCAGTGGATAAACCAGCCTTTGTATACTTTTGAGTGTGTACTCAGTGAACACACGGAAAACTACCTGCACGCTCTGGCCCCGTGTCTTTGTACTGTTTGACTATTAAGGGCAGTCCTAAATGCTAGCTACCGAGACACGGGTTTGAAGACTGTACCACAGCTGAGGCAAAGGTAGGGAAGCAGGTGGGATCCATTGGCTTGGACCCCTTGCCTCTCAAGCTAGAACTTGAAGTTTGAGCTTTGAGTGCTTGCTGTGGTGGCCAGGAAGACAGCCTTCCCTGCTGTTCTTAAGTCTGGGTGCCTAGACAAGCTAGGCTCAGGGCTCTCCATTTCACAGAGCAAAGGAAGACCCCACTTGCCATATCAGCCACAAGGCAGCCATTCCAGAGTGAATTACTTTTCATGTGTTTTCTGTGGGCTACCTGGCTCCTGGTATGGCAGTATCTTTTTCCTGTGGTGCCTGGTCTGCAGCTCACTGAAGACATATCATGAGGCTTGGCATTTGCCTTTGTGTGGTTGATTTTGTTAACACCACCTACTCCAAGACAGCTGTGCAGGGGATTGGTAGGATTTTGGATGGAATGGCAGTGGGCAGAGGACAGTCATATGTTTTCTCATCCCTGGCAGCATTTCTGTTCTCTTTCTAGTGTGTTATCTTTTTCTAGTACTTGTCCGGTGTCTGGAGGGACCATATTCCTAATGCACAGAAGTGGAACATGGCAGAGGCCTTGCCCCCTAGGGACGGGTTGCCGGTTAGTGCAATAGATTGACTTAAGACTCAAAGATTAGAGAGCTCTTTCTTGCTTGCCTGGGGCTAGGCTTTATGGGAAGGATGCTGAGGCCTCTGAGTCCTGCTGGCTGACCCCCAGTTCACTGGCATACAAGAAGAGATCATCTAAACTGACCTAGAAAATGGAATTGTCAGTGTTTTTAATGGAGTGAGGACTATTCATTTACCCAACACTGCAGGCCCATAAAGCACCTCACCAGGCACTGGGGCATAATAGCAGTGTTTATTTACCACTTCAGAGGAGAAAGGTCCAGAAGATACTGTTGTGGACACAGATCAGGCGGTGATGGCCAAGCTGTGGCTCCAGAGGGTCTTGAGTATTCCAACCAGGATTCTAGGGCTGGGCCAGGGAAGCAGGTGACCATCTCAACTGAGTCTTGGGAGAACGTGTAGGAGCCAGAACCATGTTTTTGCATATTCAGGGATTCTCATTTGTTCAACTGAGCTAGAGAGAAGTGGGCTGAGGAGAGAGAGAGGTAGTCCATACCTTCTCTTTTGTCCTCTGTGGAGGACACCTGCCTTTTGTGTAGAAGCCACCATCCCAACTAAACCCAGCCATGTTAGCTGCAAATTTCTGTGCAGTGGCAGGCCTGAGGCCTTCCCCAGGACACTCATGGGTAGGGGCAAGTAGGCCCTTTGGCTACTTGTTTGCGTAAATACCTCAGTCCTGATTCGGATAGGATCACTGGGAGGTCCATGGCCCACTGCTTTACAAGGTTTTCCCCTTGACTTGGTCCCTGTGCTGTTTTCCAGATGCTTGCTGTGGGGACTGTTGCATCTGAGAAGGCATTGGGCCAAGCACTACAGTGACACCTACTTTTTCCAACCTGGCCAGACATCCCAAACTGGAGTTCAAAACCTTAGACGCTAGATGGCAGCAGTATGGCTGTGGAGAGTAAAAAAAATCATCAGGGAGGCTTGTTCCTCTGAGCCCTGCCATGAGTACAAATGCCTGGCCTTGACAACTGATCTTCATACGTGTGACCCCTGTTGGGGTTCACAGGGACTACCTGCACAGAGCTGTGTGATCTTAAGCAAAGCACTACTCCGAAGACAGGCAGGCAGGGAGGATTGCAAAGACAGTGGCCCATTGGTGCTAATGTACTTAGATTCTCATTTGTGTAACTGTGACTTCATCTTTCAGCCAAGAATGAAACCATCACTCAGTATTTGCAATAGGGCGCTGTAGATTGGGTCTAGACAGAGGAGGAAAATAATGCTGATCCAATGAGAGAGCATACTAGTCTGTTGAGACAGAATTATTATGAATGCTTTTCCAAGTGGACAATGTCCTTCTTAGGTTTGCAGATTAGAGACATTTCTCAATGGATTGTAAGATGAACTCATGAAACATGTTCAGCTTTGTTTTGTCTGCCTCCTGTCTGGAAGTGAGGATGATGTGGCTAAACAAGGGGAGGCCAAGAACAGGTATGCATTAGGTCCTACTGTGTACCTCACCTCTAAGAGCCTGTTATGTGCTAGGCACTAATTGAGAACTCCAGATGCTCCATCTTCTTTTGCTTCAGGCAGGCGGGACACAGTAAGGGTGATGCTAGTGTGTGGCATGGTTGTGAGTTAAGACCTCAGGTTGCCACTTACTAGCTAGGTGTTGGATAATCTGTTTGTATATAGGGACACAGAATCCAAGGATGCTGTTTGCATAGGGTGGACTACAGAAATGCTCATGGTGCATCCATCACAGGACAGAAGTGCAGGCTGACCTGAGCCTCTGGTCTTGCTTCTCAGTGTAACTGACAGGGCAGAATCCTTCCTGTTTTACAGGGATCTTTAAAGATATTTTATCCAATTCAGGGTAATTAATTATGCTGAGGGTTGTTGCCCTGGGGGAATTATTTGCTATTCAGTATAATAGTGGTGATGACAAAGGGAAGGCAGTAGGGGAGGGTGGAAAGGCTGAGTACACCTTGGAACATGAGGTCAGTAGGAACAAAAATGAACTTTCCTAGTAAGAAAGTCTTTCTTCTACATTGACCTGCTCACACAAAAAAGGAATTATTTCTATAATATCCCAAATTAAAGATGATGTATAGAGTCCCCAACCTATGTCAATTCAACTTTGACCTTCCTTATACTCAGAAAGGCCACACACCTCTCCCTCCAACTCCAATGCCTTTGGGTGTTCAGTCTAGCAGTGACAGTGTCTGGCTCCCAGCAGCCAAAGCTCTTGTCTTCCAAGACTCGGATGGAAGAGGCAGAGGAGGTATAGGTGTCCATGTCACTCGGGGAGTGTACAGAACCTGAGGAAATGTGAGGAGGACCACAAGAACATGGATGCGATCAGCCATAAATGACTATAAGGAGGACAGGCAGATACTGTCCTTGTCCAGGAAGGCCGGAGGAAAGTGGTGTCTCAAAATGAGGTAAACCAGAGGCATAGCCAAATCCCTAGGTCTTGGTCATGTGTCTGAGAGAAGGAACAAGCCTTGTAGCTCAAGGAGAATGAGGCACAGGTGAGTTAAAGGTCATCCTTAGCAGAATGGGCCAGCTGGACTTTATTAGCTAGGAAGAACCTAACTGACCAGGCCTAAAACATGGCCTTGAAGGTCAAGGTCAGGCAATTATCTGTTGGAAAGACTTCAAAGCACAGAAACCAATCTGCACAAGGTTACAAGCACAATTTTGGCCAGAGTAATTTTGGCACACAATATACCACTATTTGAAACACTAAAAATCACAGGTGAGCCAGCTCCTTTCAGAGGAAAGGACAGTACCAGAAGACTTGGGTGATGAGACCATGCCAAGTGCGGCAGAAACCCTGAATGCCTGGAAATGGATCTGCTGGTGGAAAAGACATGCTTTAAGGAGAGTTCTGAGTGTTGTTCTGATGACATCTACATGGAGGAAGACGTGGTTAAAAACCAAACTTCAAAAATAAACAAAACCCAAGCTAACCCTAAAATATATTTAACTTGAAGTTTTGGATGGTGTTCCTGAAGATAAAATGGTCTAGGGTTATTATATATAAATCAGTATTTATGAATAAGTAAAAGTGTATGTAGACAAGTTTTGTTTACCTGATTAAATGTTTCTGGAATGTGTAAATTGTCAGTTTGCACTTGGACTTGTGGTCTGTGGGCATTTATGGGTGTCTGTTCCTTCTCCCAACTTTCTATAGCCCTATTCCTATCTCCAGTCCCCATGGGCTAAGAGGACTGAGCAGCAAGAGGGAACTTACTGCAGAATTGGGAGTGAGGTTCCCCATGTTACACTACTTGGATACATCCACAAATGCACTTAAATCCCCCCAGGTGGTTAAACGAAAGGCGTATTGGATTACATGACTGTTGCTGATCATATATATTCAAGACACTCTAAACCTGATTTTTTTTTTTTTTTTTAGTTTAGTTTAGTCCTAGTTGGCCTGAATCTCAACTGCTTCCCAAGTGCTGGGATTAAAGGCATGTGTACGCCACAACCAGCTTCTAAGCCTGGTTTTTAAGAGGTTTAATGAAGTAGTGCTTTTCCATCCATCCATCCATCCATCCATCCATCATCCACCCACCCAAACACACTGAGTAGCAGATTGTCGGTAGCATAAACACACAACCACCTCCGTACCAGGTTCATCATTTCCTCTCCCCTCACCTATTCAAACTAACACCATCTTTTTTTCTAAGTATGTAGCTGAACCCTGGGGCCAGTCCCCTAACTCTCCACCTGTCCTCCATTGACTCTTGGAAGTGACCAGGACTTAATTCTGTCTTTGCTATATCCTTAACTTCTTGTCCAGTTGGCTTGTTCCTAAGTAATAAACACCAGTTGTTTACATAATTGCTTTGATAGTAACAGACCCACTCCCTTTGATAGAACAGCTTCAAGCTCACAGGCAAATGAACAGCACACACACAGACCCCATACCTCCATCAGCATGCTGTGCCACACGACACCTGCCATTGCCTTTGTTCTAACCTTTTCCTACCAGACACCCTTTGACCCGAGTCTTCCAGCACTGTCGTCCCACAAGTCCGTGCTACCAGTTTAGTAACATCTACTTTCTTCCACAACAAAGCTAACTATATTCTGCCAGCAGCAGGTGTTCTTGTGGGGAGGAGGTCCATGTTTCCCATAGAGATGGCTCTGTGCTGCTATACCATCAAGCATGTTGAAGGCCCAGAAGGAGACAGGTTATGTCTTATTCTCAGTATCTGATTCAGTCAATTCTTCTTCTAGTAGGACATTTAGGTTGCTGAAAATGACAGGAACAGTTAAGCTACTTGCCGATTAAAGCAAAAGTGAACTGCTTTCAACAAAAGCAGCTGGTATAGCAAATACCAACAGAGGGCTCCATGCTTGGCAGGCCATATTGGATCTGCACTGGCTCTGGCCATTCATCTATCAGACAACTATGAGGAGTGTCTAGAAGAAAGCCACTTCTAGAAGTGGTTGGAGCATGGCTGGAGGGGGTGTTTCTTGCTTTTGAAGTAGTCCTTTTGTTTCACTAAACAACAGGTACACCACTCTGCAGGCCAAAGTACTTTGTAAGGTATCAGGAAGCAGCAACTGTCTCTCTCCCATCTGGCAGGTCTGGTTTCTAGAAGAGGCTTTCAGTATGAGCAGCATGGATGCTTGTGCAGATGGCGATTAGAAAGTATATAAATACACAATAACCTGGCATTGAGAAAAGACTTTATTTTGTAAATGGATTGTAGAGATATATGCATGAAATTAGATCGAGGAAACACAAGCAGACAATTTAGGAGGTGAAAAAGGTTAGGTCTACGAAGCAGTTCAGGACAACACTGTAAGATACACACAGGTCTGGGTATGAAGTGGATGTGGATGCTACAGTCAGCTAACTGATTGCTGTGAAATCAGGAGTATGGACAGAGAGGTAGACCAGAAGACAGCACCTTCAATTTGTGCTAATGTGAACCATCCAGAAGGCTCAGTGTCTGACTCAGATGAGGTATCACAAATCTTGAGTCAGTAGCGCAAGGTGAAAAAAAGTACCTCAGGAAGAGAAATATAAAGGCCCTTTTATGTGATCTGGTCATACATATGTCAAATTGGAAAAGGTTTCTAAATGCAGAAAACAGAACAAGCCCTCTTTGTTAGAGAAATGACTGGAAAATGTGGGTCAAAGTAGCAAAGAATTAAATAAAAACTCAAATTTAGGATCTTAAAACAACCAACTTCTTTAATTAGAAAGCAACAAACATGCACATGGCAAGTGTAGAAATTTATTTGAACCAACATTTTCACTACAATGAAAATGACTTTTCAACATTGATCCAAGCTCTCACATCTGAGGGTTAGGGAAGTATTGCACTTGGCATTTTCGAGCACTCCATACACGGCAAAAAGTTTCAAAAACATTTTGCTTGTTTTGTTTTACACACTCTCCCAACTCATGCACACACTCATTCCAAACCAATGTTTGGTTATCCCAAAAAATGGGGAAGAACTCCAAAAAAACCATAGCCTTAAATTGCACTAAAGTTCTGTAAAGAAAAAAAAAATATAATAAATGTCGTATACAAATTTCAGAACATCTAAGTGCTTGCAAAGAGTCATTTATTCTTCATCCTCATTTTCATTCTCCTGACCTGAACCTTCAGATCTGTCACCCTCCAAACGGTCTGGAAAACAAACACGAGAATCACACAAGCTCAAAATCCTTTTAGTATCTATTAAAATAACCACAGAGTCTTTGTTTAAAACTATGAAAAATGTTTACCATTCAAAACATATACATGTAAAAATCTACTCACTAGTATATACAGATGAGGGTTTGTTTTTGTTTTTGAGACAAGGTCTTATGTCTCACTATGCAGCCTTGGTGCTCTTGGAACTGGCTATATAAACCAGTCTGGCCTTCACCTGCCTTGCATCTCAGGGTTAAAGGCATATACCATTACATGAGTGCAGGTGACCAAGGAGGCCAGAGCCAGAAGCACTGGATGCCACTGGAGCTAGTGACAGTCAATTGTGAGTCCTCTGGAAGAGCAGTGTGTGCTCTTAACTGAGCCATCTCTCCAACCCCAATGTAAGTTTTTAATTTTGCCTCAAGAGGTAAATGAAGAGTGATGATATAATATCATATATACAACATCATGTAATTCTAAAACACACAAAATCTTGATCTATTACATTCTCTTGCAGTGGTTTTCAAACAAGGTTCCTTGGAGGCTAAGCTTTAATAACGGATGTCAGGTGCTGTCAAGGGAACCTGGAAAGGAGGATATGAGAGAGAAAAAGAGTGGAGACCACTCACATTGTGTTCAACCTTCCGACAATGTGACATGATGTCATCTACACAGTTCATGCTCCAACAGAGCAATCAAGTTGCAAAAACAAAACATAGAAACAAAAACTCCTTGCCCCCACCCCCAGAAAACCTCATATACTGTTTACTCCAGTAAGTTTATGACTTTCCATTGGGCTGCATTCACAGCTATCCTAGGACACACAGCCTGTGGGTAACAGGTTGGACATGCCTGTAAAAAGATTGTGTAATTCTGTTTATAAGATTTTTGTTTGTTTGTTTTTGTTTTTTTGAGACAGGGTTTCTCTGTGGCTTTGGAGGCTGTCCTGGAACTAGCTGGTCTTGAACTCACAGAGATCCACCTGCCTCTGCCTCCCGAGTGCTGGGACTAAAGGCGTGTGCCACCACCACCTGGCAATAAGATTTCTTAAATCCATCATTTGCTATGTTCTAGGAATTGTGCTAACCGAAATTACAATAATGACCAAAATAAGTGCTGTTTCTTCCCTCAAGGTAGAGCATGAACTGGGTCCAATATTCACTGCACACATAGTTATGAGCTTGGAGAGCCAGTGCAGCATGCTCTCTTGGGCTTATGCCTTTTGCGCTTGTTATTCCTCTGCACCGTTCACTAGTAATCATGGCTCTGCTAGCTACAACTATTGTCCTTATTGTGAAATTGTCCCAACTTCTTCACAAGCTCCTTCCTCCACCTATTCTGGAAAGTTCTTTATGAGCTTCTCAATGATGACCCGTTATAGTACTTGAGAACCTGTCTTCTCAGACCACACTATTAGCTTTTTAGTGGCAAAAGTAACATCTGTTTACCTCTCTATCCTTAGGGCTTATGATAGGATGTTCACTGAAGGTGTTTAATGTCCTTGTTTTGTGTTTCTGCCATGCTGGGGATTGAACCTAGAGCTTCGCACACAGTAAGCACTGTGCCACTGACCTCTACCCTAGAGAAAGGTTTACTAAAGAAATGAATGCAAGTTTTATGAAGGTAAGCTGTATCACATTATGGTTTATGACGAAGGCAATGGCAGAAAATCACTACCACAGTAATTTAGTATTTACCATAGTATTTAGGGCTTTTTGACAGACACATTTCCTCAAGTAATCTGGAAAATATTAAGGACAGATAAAGTAAATAGTCCACAACAGAAGGATGCCAAACATTAGATGGAAGGGGACATTATAATTATATAATTATAAAAAGAGAAGAGAAAGACTTTTGGTCCAAAGCTTGCATGTCAGAGTATGGACCTGAATACATGGCTATCCATGGAATCCTAAGTCAAGGGGAAGGTAGTTTCAAATTCAGGCTTTAACGTTCATCAGGTGGATGGCCTGGGCAAGTTAGGGTTAATGTCTGAGGGACTGGAGAGATGACTGAGGTTAAGAGCTCTTGCTGCTTTTGTAGAAGACCCAGGTTCAGTTTCCATCACCACACAGTGACTCACAGCCACCTGTAACTCCAGCTCTAGGGTCTCTATCACTTCCTTCTGGATTCCCAAGGTGCCAGGCACGCATGTGGAAAACGTGTATGTGGAGAACATGTGCATGTAGGCAAACACTCATACAATGAAATAAAATAAATCTAAAGTAAAATCTTATTTTTTTTAAAGAGTTAGTATCTGCTGGGCTTGGTGGCACATGTCTTTAATATCAGTACTCAGGAGGCAGAGGCAGGTGCATCTCTGTGAATTTGAGGCCAGCCTGGAGCAAGCTGCAGGACAATTACAGGACTACACAGAAAGACTGTCTCAAAAAACAACAAACCTAAAAACCCAAATTAAAAAGACATAATATTTGATACACAATAGGTATTGTATAAATGATACATAATACCTAACGCCTAACGTATGAATGCATTTATGCAATCAGTGAGAAGGGATAAGCATTCCTGCTTGATAAAAATGTCATAATACACACTGGATAATAACCCTATTGCTATGAATAAATATTATGCAATTTCTTCTTGAATATCAGTTGTAATATATGCAGTTTTTGGATTTCTGTCATTGAACCACAGTTTATCATCTAAAACAGTGTTGATAGAGTAGAGAGATGGCTTAGTAGTTAAGAGCACTTGCTGCTCTTATTGCCGATCTGGGCTCAGTTCCCAGCACCTACATAGGAGAGAACCAGTCTGTAACTTCAGTTCCACAGGATCCAACTCCCTCTTCTGGCCTCTGTGGCACTGCACACACAGATATACATTCAGGCAAGGCCCTTACATATAAAATAAAGATAACTAAATCTTTAAAAATTATTGGAAAGTACACTAATATAACTTTCTTACCACTTTATGTTTTTAATTGGAACAGTATTGACTTTGAATAAACCTACCATTATAATGTATTTAACATAACTTTATTTGTTCGCATTTTTGTTTTTTGTTAGTTGAGGCAGTATCTCATATTGTGCAGCCGAAGGTGACTCTGGACACCTGTTCCTCCTCCTTCCACCTTCCTTGTGTTAGATCACTGGAGTGTGCCAGCACGTCCAGCAGTACAATGTGTCTGGAGGCTTATGGTACAGTTCTGTATTATGAGATTACCTAATACAGTTCTCAAGTGACTGTGTTTTCATTTTACCATTTTCAATAAATTTAGTTAATAAGAAAATAATTCACTGGGCTAAAGTCAAGTGTTCACAGAGAGAAATCCTAGTTCTGAAGCTGCTACTTTCATTTTTGGATATTAAGAAAATCATATAAACTTCTGTAAAGCAGGGCTGTTTTCAAATAAAATAATGATTTTAATGATAGAGTAGAAGTTCTTACCAGCTCGGATATGATTTAGTGATGCCAACATTCTTAACATGAAAGATGCTGGGACAGTAATGGTGTTTCGAGTCTCTTCCAGCATGAGTTCATTTCGAGTTATAACCTACAGCAAGTTAAACAATTATGTCAAAGTTCATAAAGTAACACCATCCTTGCCTTAAAGAAAACAGTTTTGAAAATCAGCAAGTCTTAGGAAGAATATTTTTTTAAAAAACATTTCATTTATGTATTATGTATATAACATTCTGCTTCCATGTATATCTGCACACCAGAAGAGGGCACCAGATCTCATTACAGATGGTTGTGAGCCACCATGTGGTTGCTGGGAATTGAACTCAGGACCTCTGGAAGAACAGTCAGTGTTCTTAACCCCTGAGCCATCTCTCCAGCCCTTCTTCATGCTTTTTATGTGTAATGTCTCTATTTCTGCCTTTAGGCTATTCAATGACAATTACTTTAACAGAACCAGTAGTTTTCCTATTTCCATACAACAAACATGCTGAGAAAGAAATGAAAAAAAAAAAAAAAACCCATTCACAACACTAGCAAAATCCATAAGCGCATCAAGTACCCATGAATGAACCTACTCAGGAAGTGGAAGACTTCTATGGTATGTAAAAAAAAAAAAAAAAAACCAAAACCAAAAAAAAAACACAAAAACTTACACTGGAAAGAGAGCCTTTTAGTCAAATGCTGCTGGAAAAACTGAAAATTCCCATGTAGAATGAGATTACAACCATCTCTCCAATTCTGACCAAAATTCAGTTCAAAATAGATCATTAATGTAGGACTTGAAAGTATTAGTGTTGGGAAAAACACTTCAAGATTTAAGCACAAAGAGGGACTTTATGAAAAGGCCTCTATAGCTTAAGAAATAATTCCAAGACTGGACAAATAGGATTTATCAAATTAAAAGGCTTCTTCCTATTAACAGAGTGAAAAGACAGTCTACAGAATGGAGAAAAATATGTGACAACTGTGCATCTGACAGAGCAGAAAAATTAAATATTAAAACCCATGGGGAAAATACTTGGACAGAAAGTTCTCAAATGAAATACAAGTGACCAATGAACAAAAAGAAAATGTTCAAACTCCTCAGCCAGCAGGGAAAAGCAGCAGGGGCTGCATGAGGGCGGTGCACACCTTTAGTCCCAGGGGCTGCAGGAGGCGGGGCACACCTTTAGTCCCAGGGGCTGCAGGAGGCGGGGCACACCTTTAGTCCCAGGGGCTGCAGGAGGCGGGGCACACCTTTAGTCCCAGCACTTGCAAAGGCACAGGCAGGTGGATCTCTGAGAATCTGAGGCCAGCCTAGTCCACAATAGCCAATTCTAGGCCAGTTGAAGATGTAAAATGAGATCCCGACTCAAAATAATAATAAAAATTTACATTGTCAAAATAGCTACCAGGAAAACAAATGACAACAAATGCTGGAGAGGAAGTGTGAAAAAGGAACCAGTATATACTGCTGGTGGAAATATAAACTGGTACAGTCCCTATAAGAACCAATATGAAGCTTCCTCAAAAAGACTACTAATAGGACTGACATATAATTTAGCTATCTCACTTCTATGACTATACCCAAATGAATCTAAGCCAGCCTACCATAGATACTCATGCATACATATTTATTGCTGCAATACTCATAAAACCCAAACTATAGAACCAGTCTAAATATCCATGGATAAAGAAAATGTATATAAGCCAGCATAAGGAGGGTTATTATGTCATCTGCAGAAAAATGGGTAGAAACGAGATTACTGTGTAAGTGGAATTAAGCCAGACTCAGAAAGACAAATACAGTATGAAGACTGTATTATATGGCATGAAAACAGAAGGGTAAGTGGGAATTGGGAGGAAGGGTCTAAGAGAAAAGAGGTGAAGGCAAGACAGGGTAACTTGTTTTTACTCATATGCAGAGTTTTACCACCCCCCCCCTCCAGCAACAGCAGCAGCAGCAGCAGCAGCAGCAGCAGCAGCAGAAAGCAAAAGGGACACTTGGAGGAAGATGTGGACCAGTGAGATCAGAGGGAAAGAACAAGGAAGGAGGGATAAGAATGACGAAGGTTCAATGATTAAGGATGTGAAATCATTTCCCTTTTCCTCTCCCTCTTCACTCCCCCACCTCTCTCTCACTGAGACCCATCACTTTTTTTTGTTTGTTTGTTTGTTTTTGTTTTTTGAGACAGGGTTTCTCTGTGTAGCTTTGGAGCCTATCCTGGCACTCGCTCTGTAGACCAGGCTGGCCTGGAACTCAGAGATCCCGCCTGCTTCTGCCTCCTGAGTGCTGGGATTAAAGGTGTGTGCCACCAATGCCCGGATGAGACCCATCACTTTGTATGTTAGCTAAAAATGTTAATGAAAATGAGTAAGACCAAGGAACTAAGGGAGTCTTTAAAATATAATAAAGAAAAATTATGATCATTTGTTGGTCTACCTATTAATACTGGGGACATGGGGGGGGGTAGTCCTAATGCTCCCTTGTGAAAACCTCAAATAGAAAAATTAAAAGTCTACAGTTACGGAGGGTTGCATATAGTAAGATTATCTGCCCCCACCTCCTGCCTCACTATCTTTTGCTTATTTTGACAGGATCTTGACATGAGGCTCAGTTTGACCAGAACCCTAGGTTCAGCTTCCTGGGTCGTAGAAGGTGAATCACAGGCTGCATAATCAATTTGTTTGCAGCTAAAACACTCTTCAAAGGAAAGAACTTTTTTTTTTTTTTTTTTTGGTTTTTCGAGACAGGGTTTCTCTGTGTAGCTTTGGAGCCTATCCTGGCACTCGCTATAGAGACCAGACTGGCCTCGAACTCACAGAGATCCGCCTGCCTCTGCCTCCCGAGTAATGGGATTAAAGGCGTGCGCCACCAACACCCGGCACAGAAAGAACTTTTTAATGCTTTCTGTTATACATACTAAGCATGATAATCAAACTTGTCTTTATACTATATTCCTAATCTGTTATAAAAGTCATATTTTTGTTTTTTAAATAAGATTTTTTCACTTACTTTACACAGCAACCACAGTTTCCCTCCCTGTTCCTGTGTCATGACCCGCCCCTCCACTCCCACTCCTCCTCCTCTATTCAAAAAAGGGGCAGGCCTCCCACAGGCTTGAGCAAAGCATGGCTCATCAAGTTGAGGCAGGACTGAACTCCTCCCCTTGTGTTAAGACTAGGCAAGGTAATCCAGCATGGGGAACAGGTTCCCAAAAGCCAGCCAAATGCCAGGGACAGGTCCTGATCTCACTGCCAGGAGTCTTACAAAGAGGCCAAGTTATATAACTGTCACACACATGCAGAGGGCCTAGGTCATTCCCATGGAGGCTGATGGCTCAGTCATTGAAGGCTAGGCTTACCACCAAAAATATAATGTCAGTATTGTAATTAGTAACATAATAAATTGATTTTTACATTTACTATTATAGATATGTTTTTATTTCATTTTTCTTTTTCCAAAGATTTGACATCCTCTCTCTCCCCCTTTTCCTGAGACACAGTCTCATTATATAGCTGTGGCTAGCCTAGAACTTTCAATATAGACCACCAGGTTGGCCTTGAACTCACAGACATCAATCTACCTATCCATCTGAATGCTGAGATTAAAAATTTGACTTCCTTAACTGAATGCTTTGTTTTACTTAGCAACTAATAATGAACTGGTTTTTCTCTTAAGATAGCATTTTAGATAAAAATTAAAATAGAAGTATAGTAAAAGTCTTACTTCATCAGCAAGTTTTCGATTAAAAATCCTTGACTCTTCCAATGGCGACCAGATCTTTATGTCGTAATCTATGCCAGATGAGGCTAGAACTAAAAAGAAAATTTACATCATAAATTCAAGAAGTAGATATTAAGCATATGTGCAAGATTAACAAAATTTAGCTTGAATAAAAACCACTATACATATTTTTGAAGTTTTTTTTTAAACTTTTTTTTTTTTTTTTTTTTGAGGCAGGGTCTCTTTACATAGCCCTGGTTGTCCTGGAACTCACTATATAGGCTGTCCTAGAAATCACAGAGATATACCTGCCTCTGTCTTGTGAGTGCTGGTAATAAAGGTATATACGAGCACACCTGGCCAAAGATTTAAATATTGTGTGTGTGTGTGTGTGTGTGTGTGTGTGTGTGTGTGTGCACAAGTGCAGGTACTTGGAGAGGCCACAAGAGGGCATCAGCTTCCCTAGAGCTGGGGCTGTGAGCTGCTTGATGTGGGTGATGGGAAGGAAACCTGGGGGCTCTACAAGGATAATAATGTATGTTTTTAGCACATGTTTTCCTTTCTTTCTTTCCTTCTTTTTTACTTTTCTTGGTCTTTAGAGACAGGGTTTCTCTGTATTGTTTTGGAGCCCATCCTGAACTTGCTCTGTAGTCCAGGCTGGCCTTGAACTCAGAGATCCGCCTGCCTCTGCCTCCCTGGTGCTGGGATTAAAGGCGTGCACCACCAACGCCTGGATGTCTTTAACTGAAACTGCTGAGCCATCTCTCCAGTCTTTGTTCTATATAATTAACTGTTAATTATCATTTTGAACATTTTCTAAAAGTAACTAATTGCAGAACAAAATTTTAAGACCACCTTGAAGTCACTCAAATTTCTGTCATATTCACTGTTTTCTTATGAAATATGCAGTCACTTGCAAGAGAAAGCCAATTCTCCTTTGTGCTAATAAATTAATTTAAACTCATTAAGTCTTAAAAAGATTTGGAGGCTTGTTTTGAATAAATGATGAGAAGTTCAGTCATGCCAGACTCTATAAACTTAAATATTAGAAGAATAAACCTTTTAACCTGTTTCTTTAGAATATCTGTCAAAAGCACATTCTTTTCTTTCTGAGGTTGGGAACCTTTAAAAGTATTTACCTGTCCTTTGAGAATTTGTACATGTATACAAAATGTTCTGACCAAACCCATTCCCTATTCCCTCTCTCCATCTCTTCCCAGATGCTCCCCACGTCTCCCTCCTAACACTGTGTACTCATTTTAAATCCCCTGAATCCAGTTAGTGCTGCCAGTGTGTGCTTGAGTCCCGCCATCCACTAGCATGGGCAACTTACTAGGAGCCATGTCCTGAGGAAAACTGACTCTCCCTCCCTCCACCTGCAGCCATCATCTGCCAGCATCTTCTCAGCTAGGGGTAGGGCTCTGTGAGCCCCTCTCCCATCCTCAAAAAGTAAATGCTTTGTTTTAAACCCATGTAGAGCTGTGACTATCTGTAGTGGTGCTTAATAGGACAATTCAGACTTCTGTTCTAGTGACTACAGCTGAGGAATGATACCAGCAATTTCTAGTACTTGTTCTATGAAAGCTGCCTTACTTGGGTCGAATGGATGAGGCTGCAGGCAGTTGACCACGTGATTATCAGCTTCCAGGAGCATCAGGTGCTCAGCAGTGTGCCGATCCCAAATGAAGATATGGCCACAGTCAGAACCACTCATTACAAAGTTAGCACCCCAGAAATTGGCTTCTTTTATCTGAGGGATTTTAAGAAACACAAGGACATCCAAGTCAAAGTTACCAAAAGAAAGACAGATTCCATTCTCATGATGAAAATGAATTGTTTTAAAAATAAAGTTAAATACTGAAGTCTAAGAATCTTAAAATTGTGTCAGCACTTCACTGGGGGGGGGGGGGGGGGGGGGGAGGGATGGGTAATCACATCAGCAAAGTACGGGAAGCCTCCCCGAGAGCAGGTTTGCTAGGAGACACTATTTGATACACAACAGGTACTTCACACACTATAAACAAGTAAATGAGAATTCTGGGCTTAAAATAGTATAGTGGAAAAAAGTATATACATATAGATGAACTTTGTAAAAATCATCTTTTAGCTTTATAAGAAAATAAAAACATTTCATGGGAAAAAGGATCAGAAAGTATTTTTTTTTTAATTAGCTGTTAGTAGCTCACAGAATTAAGAAGGAATGATAAACTGATCTTTAGTCAAGCAAGCAGAGGAATATGGTATACTAGCTTAATAAACATACATGAAAGGACTGTAAAAAGATCTTTATACTTCAGACATTGTCTTTAAAATCATTTCCCCTGCAGTCATATGGTGCAGTTGTTGTACTTACCTACCTTGGGTTTTCATCTCTTTCTGTACTAAGACATGATCTCAGGGCCATGTGCGTGCTAGGCAAGCACTCAACCACTGAGTTATAGCCTCAGTCATCCTTTAATTAATTTCATCTCAAATTTTAATTGGCAAAATGCACAAAATACAAATTGGTTACTTCTATTAATAATGAGTATCTGTTTAAAAATGATGAAATTGTTAATACCAATGACATTACAAGGAGAGCTAATTATTTCCTCAATTCTGTTTATTTTTTACCTAGACCCTCAAGAAGGTAAAACATGATCTGAAGGTACTTTGTGGTAATACTACAGGCATATAGAGCACTTTCTAGATATGAATGGTTGATAGTAATAGCTATATTGCTGCCTTGTACTGGAATGCAGATTTGTGGGTTTCAAGCACTACAACTGATCTTGCAGATCTCCTGGTCTATCCTGACAATTTCAAAGATGACAAGTTAAAGCAAGGAGAGACAGAGTGATCAAAGCCAATTTTTAGCTGTTACTTCAAAAGGTGTTTTAATTAATTATTGTATCTGTATTTTATACTCAATCTGGATTTCATGTACAGGTTTATTTTCTCATCCCAAATAACAAAATGTGGTAAAATGAGTTTTAAAAAGTTTAATACTAAATTTCTGAGGAGAGCAAGCATAGACAATAAACAAACAAATAAAAAGCATTAGCTACAATGTTCTAAGCTAAAATAATTTTTTCTAACTCACATATATTTCTTTAGTAAGGTAGAATTTTTTGCAATATTTTACCACACTAAAAAAACAGGTTTGAATAAAATAAAAATCACCACGGGGAAAAAAACCCATGAAACTGCAATCTCATCAAAGAATCTCAATGAGCATCTGGTACCATTGTCCGGGAGTTGCGATGACCCTTATAAACCATCTTTACTAGTGGCCTTCTAATGTTCAAAGTATCCAATTCTTCCATTTCTTTCCTTTCTTTTCTCCTCCTGAAGAACTCCTGAATGCGGGCAACAGCAGAGCGTCTGTGTATTACATATTAAAACAAACAAAAGAAAAACCAAAAATATAACATTCACAGGCAACTTCTGAATAATAATGAAAAACGTCAAAATACAGTAAGTTTGTAATATACTTCAAACACATTATTTTAATAAAGCACCCCCCAAATCAAAAGCATAAGAAAGCAGACTTCATCATAGTAGTTGAGTTACTATAAAGATATTTTAGTTCAGTGATCACTTAGGAAATTGGTACTGGTTGAAAAAGTAAAATAGCATGCGACATATGAGTTTCTAAAGTACTATTTTATAAAATCAAACAGACAAAATTCATGTGCAATTTTACTTTAAACAAAACATCCTATTTGCCCCGGTTGGTGGCCTAGGCCTGGAGTCACACCCTTGGGAAGCAGACGGGGTTCAGGAACTCAAGACCAGCTCTGACTACAAAGTGGATTTTGAGGCCTGGGCTACTTGAGACTCTGTCTCAAAGGAAACAAAAAATAATGTCCTGTTCTTTTCACAAATGCCATAAAGAGAACCCTAAAGAAACTAAGAGTAACATGTAACAGTGGTAACTAATATTCTGACATAGTTTAAAGATGTTCCAAGGGCAAACTAGTCAAGAGGAGACTAAATATCAGTAAGATAAAATGAAGACCTTCAAATAGTGTCTTCTTTTATATGGCTCACACCCCAGGAGAAATTTACAGTTAATGAGGTGAATTCCATTCTCTCTACACAGGGGCTTGTGGCAGTAGTAGCTACTCAAGAACAAAGTACTCTTTTTAAGGTTGATTTTATTATTAAGGGAAAGCTCTCCTGACACCCAATATTACCTAATTCTGAAGCTTTCATCTGTCACTTAAAACATCACATTTTGACATAAAATAGAAAGTAGGTAAGACCTAAAACTACAAATTTGTAAGAAAAACAGATGATAGTCTCATCAATAAACAAGCGTCTCTATGTTTATCAGATTGAAAATATTTTTATGTCTCTGGATGTGGCAAGAGTTTGGAGAAAGGCCTAGCTCGATGCAGTCTTCAAACAGAACAAGCTGACCTCAGCAGCAACATCCCGGAGGAGGCAGCATCATCAGATATCCACAAGTCTCCCGAGCCCCACTTATCATTTCTCTACCCTCAAAGAAAACTTTTCTGACCTCTAATATCATGGTTTTATTTTTGGGTTTTAATTCAATGGAATTTTAATTCAACAGGCGTCCATTTATTGAGCTTGTGTGCTCTGGCATGTGTGTGGCAGTCAGAGGACAAGCATAGCTGTTGCTCCTTGTCTGACAGTTCTCTTTTACTGTACAGTGTTGCTAGCTGACCCAGGAGCTTGCATGGACTACCCTGTCTTTAATTCCCATCTCAAGGAAGGAGCATTGGGATCACAGACACATAGTCACCCATGCTGTTGTATTGGCTGAAGTTCACTTATCATCTTCCCTGCAAAGTACTGCTTTGCATAAGTATACTTTATTTATTGCGTTGTTTAGTTTCTGATGACTGGAACTGGGCATATCTTTTGGTGAATATATACACATGTTCATGTTGGGTATTTCCTACGAGTGAATGCTGCACTATAGTATGTGTACAAGGTTCATCAACAGTAAACAGTAAACAGTCCCAGTCTGGGACATGATTGCACAGACTCATACTCCTACCAGCAGTATATTGGCGTTCCAGAGCATAATATTTTTGAAAATATAATATCAGATTTAAAATATGTATAAAACTTTGACTTGGCAATTTTCCGTATTAAAAAAGTCTTGGAGAAGCTAGGACCTGGTGCATACCTTTAATCCCAACATTTGGGAGGCAGAGGCAGAAGGATCTATGTGAGTCTGAGGCCAACACGGTCTATAGAGAGAGTTTGAGGATAGACAGGGCTACACAGAGAAAACCTGTCTCAAAAAAAGTCTTGTAGAAAACTAAAAATACAAATCTATACTTTGTAACTGGCAAAGACAGAAACAAATTTATGTACTCATAGAAAGGGGGTTGGAAACAGCAAATTGTTAGTGAGAATTTTTAACAATAACATTACAATTTTGTATTTCCATTTAAAAATATTTTGTTTTTATAAAAATTGGTATACTCCAAGACATTCAGGGAAACTAAAAAGCATTCACAAAACTGCTCTACAGCTGTGGGAGTTCAGTAGGTGAGTCCTCAACTAGCATGCTTATTGAAGGGCTAAAGCAGCACACATGAAATTAACTGATCCAAACTTTCAAAGCACTAACAAATAGTATCAGTTCTTATTCTGTTTGGGAGAAACACTTAAAAGATTGAGGAAAACAACAAAAACATGGTAACTCAGCAGAGTGACACTGTGTCTGATTAAGCCAAGCCCCATTCAAGACAGAACTGTTACCACAGTAAGACAGAAAGGAGCAGTGGGAACCTTTGATAAGCTCTCACAGTAACCCCAGCAACACATGGGTGGGACATTCTTCCCACACTCAGGGGTAATGTGTGATACCTAATACCACTAGTACATTGTTAGCTGGTGCAGTAAGGAAAAAGTGGAGGAGAAAGAAATATTTGTAGATCATCTAATTTCTACATTTAAAAAATGAAAATAACCTACAGACTAATTAACAGAAATACTAGAAAAGTGATGTGGCTGGAAATACAATTAGGATACAAGTCAACTGCATTGCTTTTTTTCTTTTTCTTTTCTTTTTCTTTTTCTTTTTTTTTTTTTTTTTTTTTTTTTTTGAGACAGGGTTTCTCTGTACAGCTTTGTAGACCAGGCTGGCCTCAAACTCACAGAGATCTGCCTCCCTCTCCCTCCCGGTTGCTAGGATTAAAGGCCTATGCCACCATTGCCCGGCCTCAACTGCATTTCTAAAAATCAGCAATATACAGTTAGCATAAAAATATAAACAATCACATCTGTTACAGAAACTAAAATTAAAATTCCTATCAAAGATTTGTAAAATTTCTTCGTACAAAATGTCACTGTGTGTGTCTGTGTGTGTCCAGCTGTGCCTATTCTCTCTAGAGTCTCCTTCAACCATGCACACCTTATTGTTTCAGATAAGGTCTCTCGCTGAAATTGAAGCTAGACTGGTGAACCCCTGGGATTCACCCACCCATATGCTATGGTTACAGATGTGTGCCACTGCAACCCAACTTTTATGTACACGCTGGGAATCCAAACTCAGGTCCCCCATGCTTGCAGAGCAAGCACTTCACCCACTGAGTCATCTCCCCAGCCACCGATACATAAGAAAAACAAACAAAAAAACACCACATTCATTATATTCACCTTTCAACTGAAATTCATGTGTTTACCACAACTATGATCATCATCTGAGGATATATGTGTGGGACTTGCAAGTTGCTTATAAAACAAACTGTAGGTCCAGGACAAAGGTAGTGCATGCCTGTAGTCCCAGCTATTGTGGAGGACGAGGCAAGAGGATATTTGCTTGAGCTATGCTCACAGGGTACCCAGCATCAAAATGGTAACCTAAATGCAGGCGATCACCAAGTTGTGGGACTGTGTCCACTCCAGCCTGGCCAATCTGTCAAGAAAGTGCGTTGAATGAAGGAGGCTGGAGGGATGGAGTGGGGATTATTGAACAGACTGAGAGACAGGTAGGGTGAGTTCACAGGAGAAAAAGAGCAGAGGACAACTACCATTTTATTTATTATTCAAAGAAACAGGGAATATGCCATGTAGCATTTGTAATACAGTAATGCATATTTATAAAATGCAACACATTCCCTTGTGAGAACTGTCATACCTGTGATAATATATTTCTAATTTATTTCAGCAGAAGTTTTTATAAGAGGGTAATAGAGCAGCTGTGTGTAGGAGACCTCAGGAAAACAGTGTCTTATAATTAGAACTTTACATAGGAAATCTCTACATGCAGTCTGAGGTGGAGGAGTCTTACTTGACTCACTCGGGGGAGGTATGGTGACATTCTCTTTCCGTTTTTTTTTTTTTTTTTTTTTTTTTTCCCCCCCGGAAAGGGGTTTTTTTTGGCTTTGGAGACTCACAGAGATCCACCCAGCTTCTGCCTCCCGAGTGCTGGGATTAAAGGCGTGTGCCACCAACGCCTGGCTGACATTCCCTTTTCAACATCATTCTTTTTCACATTGTTTACTTCCAGGTTTTAGCCTTTGGAAGACTCATTTAAAGCAACATGTTACTTTTTTAGTTGCAATCTTCATTTTAAAAGCAGAAACCAGCTTTGAGTACCTGGGATAAAGTTTAGTAAGTTAAAAACATCAAAAAGCCCTGAAATAAATTCCATTTTGGTGTCATTAAATTAAAAAGTGATAGCCAGCAGTAGAATCACTTGCAAAATTATTACTTTAAATATACTTTGATGTCAAAACAGCCTCCACACACCAGCATAAAAATAAAAATGAGAGCCTGTGAGATGGCTTAGCTGGTGACCTAGATCTCTTGGACCCTCATAAAGGTGGAAGGAGAAAAGGGGGGCTCCACAAAGTTGTCCTCTGACTGCCACACTCACAATGCATCATGTGTGCCTGCAAATATACATATAATAATAGTAATAAAATTTTTTTCAAAAAGCAAAAATGAATTAAAACTTACTTCAAGATCCTGAGGATGGCTTTTAATGGGAAATTAGTATAGATTTATGTTAATTTTTGGCTTATTTCTCTATTCTGTATAGGAAACCATCTATTTTTACAATCTGATCATTACTAAATATTTTATGTACTACTTTTAGAAACTGATAATACCAGAAAAACATGCCACTTCTTAGTTTGGCTAATTTTTTCGGTAAGCCAGGCTTGGATAGATGACCAATAGAATTCTACTAAAAACTGTGTGCTACTGATCAATTAGAGATATATTTAAGGGTTCTATATCAACATGGTATGTAATATTCCTAAATTATTTAGCTACTTATAAGAAAATGGCATTAAAAATCAGAATCTTAAAAACTAGCACAGAATTAGATTTGAAGAAAATGTACATATGAATAACAAAACTGCTAACTATGCCAGTCAAGTTAAAAAAGA